GCAAAAATAATTTCAAGAAGTGGGTGAAGACTGAAAATTCCACAACATATGCTAGTTTTGTGGCCGCTCAGGAAATAGTCAAGCACGGGAAGCCCTTCACAGATGGAGAGTATATAAAAGAAGCATTCATTAATATTTCGGAACATCTATACATGGACTTCAAAAACAAGAATGAAATTGTGCAGAAAATCAAAGACATGCCTCTCTCTGCGAAGACTGTCAAAGACAGAACCCTAAAAATGGCAGAAAACATTAGCAAACATCAAATTCAAGACATTAATTCAGCTGTGGCGTACTCCATCGCCTGTGATGAGTCCAAAGATAAAGGTGATACTGAACAAATAGCGCTGCTCTGCCGATATGTGAACTCTTTTGGGCCACAGGAAGAACTGATTGAGCTGATACCACTAAAAGACCAAACAAGGGGTGAGGATATCTGTAAGGCTGTCCTGGACTTTTTAAGTGCTAAAAAAATAAACACCAACCACCTGGTCTCAGTGGCTACTGATGGGGCACCGAGCATGAGAGGAGCACAGAAGGGCTTTGTGGCTCTACTGCAGAAGGCGCTGGGTAGAACGCTGCTGTCATTTCATTGCATCCTGCACCAAGAGGCATTGTGTGCTCAAACATTTCCCCCGGAATGCACAAAAGTGATGGATGTGGTCATTCAGATTGTTAATAAGATAATGGCAAAGGGTTTAAACCACCGCCAGTTCCGTTTGCTATTGGATGAGGTGGAAAGCATATATTCTGACCTCCTGCTCCACAACAAGGTCCGGTGGCTGTCCAGAGGCGAGGTGCTAAAACGCTTTGTCACATGTTTGGAAGAAGTAAAAACCTTCCTGGGCAGCAAAGAGCTCACCTTTGCTGAGCTGGAACAGCCAGAGTGGCTGGAAAAATTACATTTTATGGTAGACATGACAGCACATCTAAACACGCTAAATACAACCCTTCAGGGGAAAGGAGGCACAGCCCTGCACATGCTGGAGGAGGTTTTGGCATTCGAGCGCAAGTTGACAGTGTTTGTCAAAGATTTACAGAGAGGTACACTGTCTCACTTTCCCTCTTTGAGAGAGTTCAAACAAAGTCATGATACGATAAATTTGGAATATTTCAAGTCTGCAATCACCACAATGCAAAGTTCGTTTGGGAAACGATTCTGTGAGTTCAGAGAGGAAAAAACGACATTATCCTTCCCTGTCACTCCCCTGGCGATCGATCCATCCCTATTGAATATGACTGCATTTGCAGGTGTAAGTCAACCTGATCTTGAGATGGAACTGGCCGATATAGCCGACAAAGATATATGGGTGTCCAAGTTCAAATGCTTGACCGCTACTCTTGAGGATGTTGCCCGTCAGAAGGCCATTCTGGCTCAGAATCATAAATGGAGTGATATTGAAAACCTTCCCAAACAGGACAAACTTGTATTCGAAACATGGAATGCCATCCCCAACACTTATATAAACATGAAAAAGTATGCATTTGGAGTCCTGTCGATCTTCGGCTCCACATATGTATGTGAGCAGGTCTTCTCCAACATGAACTATATTAAAAACAAACATCGATCACGCCTCACAGATGACAGCTTGCAAGCCTGTGTGAAAATGAAGGTGACGTCTTACAGCCCTGATGTGCAGACACTGTGCACTGAGGTTCAGGAGCAAAAATCCCATTAACCAGGTAATTTAGCTATTAATTTGCAAAAATATATTTTACATTGTTAAGTGAAAAAGTCATTTTTTTATTCAGATTGACAGCTGACTGCACGATCCTGTATATAGCAATAAGGTAAGAAACAATATATGCAGTGTTATATTTGTTTTAAATGTCGCAATGGTTTTGCGGCTCCCAGTTTATTTTTTCCTTCGGAAACGGGTCCAAGTGGCTCTTTATGTCTTAAAGGTTGCAGACCCCTGTTCTATACGAACCCGGCGACCCGAGTTCGATTCCCGCTCACGGCCAACACCGGTGACGATTCTCTGAACCGGCTCTGGGGATCTCCTAGGTCGACTCGGCCTCAAATAAGTACCTCGTGCGGTGCGTAGCCATCGCCACTTGGGGAGACAAAGGAGGCCGGTCATGGTGCTGGCCACTCACCCCTTCGTGTCCCGGCCTTCACAGGTGCTCGCTAACAGCACTTGCCCCAACAGTCTGTTAAGGCTACCTGTATTATGGATATTTCGCAACCAGTGTCATCCATAATAGAGGTTTGTTTGGGTTAGATCGCGTGAATATATAAATGTGTGTCGTTAAAGCCGCCACCACCCGACACAGCCAATTAGTAAGATTTGTCACGTAAACAGAACGTGCCGAGTCGTTACTTGTCCTCTTCTACTACACCGGGCCGTCTCAGAGCGCCGTTCACACCACAGGCGACTTGCTCCACACGTCATTTCAAACGGTGGTGAGATGTTAACTCCCTCGCCTGGTATGCAGGAGATCGTGGGCTCAATCCCGACCATGATGAGTGCTGCTGTATATTTGGAGTTTGCGGTGTCTCTCTCCTCGTGGTGTCGTGGATTTTTTTCCGGGTCCTCCGGGTTTTCCATACGCATTTAGAATCGGCATCACGCGTTTAGAGTATTTGGCTGCTATACATTTGAATAGAAGCCACTTTGCTGAGCCATAATTTGTGTACAGGTCGCCTCTGAAAACAAAAAAAGTTCCGTGGGCCTTACCTGCTCAAATAAAAAGATTGTTCGGTTTAAATTTCGATTTAAAACGTTCTTGACTGTAGGGATTCATCTTCTTGGTTCTTTCGGTAAAGTCACGTAGAAGGGAAATGATAAAATAATAAAGATAAAACATAATAAAATAATTCTCACGACGTTTCGGCCACAACGCAAGCAGCCGTCCTCAGGTGAAGACGCTGTCTCCCCGGCAGACCTGGTCTTCACCTGAGGACGGCTGCTTGCGTTGTGGTCGAAACGTCGTGAGAATTATTTTATAATGTTTTATTTTTATTATTTTATTATTTCCCTTCTACGTGACTTTACCGAAAGAACCAAGAAGATTAATTGTTCAGTTTAGTTTAAACATTTAAGAAAGGGCACCCCCAGTGGCAGCTGTCCATGTGCGACACACGAGGCGACTGCATCTGGCCTGCAGGCGGCATTCGTATGCCAGTATGGGGTGCGACGGATTCGTTGTTTAATCTCGATTGAACGTGACAAAACAACATCGTCAGCGTTGTTGTCAAAACTATACAAACAACGCAACTCAGCAGACAATTATCCTCCCATGATATAAATATGTTGAAGGAGGTTGTTTTTTTGTTTACACCCTATCAGCTGCACGGCCTTGTGGGGTGTGCATTATTTCAGCAGCATTGGTTCAACGCAAGCAAACTTTGGCCCGGTTTTGACATTCAGGCTCCCATCAGCAGTCAGCAGACTTGCTGGGATCAACGTTGTCGCTGGGATAGGTGAAAACACCCCAGCATTCGTGTCGTGTGCGGAGAGGCAGATACTGGGAGTATTCCCAGTAAACATTTCACCGTGTTGTCTGTCCGCTTATTCATTGTGTAACATGCGGTGTATATTTATAGGGGTTTTCCCCTTTTTTCTGGCAACAAAACTGACACCTTTTGCAAGGAATCATGGTTACATTAACCACAATACTTGCAGTCAAATGCAAAGAAAAAACAATACTCTGATAATTTCTGCATTGTCTTTGAAACTGATTGGTCCACACCAGAGACAGCTTTCTTTGGAGCCTAGTCTCATATGGTGTTCGACCAGATGACGTCAAAAGGCTGTGTATATATTTATTGTGGGGGTGTTGTTTGTGAATGTAAACAGGGCTACGCGGCAGGGTTGACCGAGTGTGAGCCGCGTATCTTGTTCAGGGAAGAATAAGAAAAACTGGTGTAGAACCCCCCATATTAATAACAATGAATACTTCTAGATTTGACGCTTTCGTGACTGCAATGATTCATATTCTCGGGTTTTTTCGGTAATGTCACGTAGGTAAAAAAATAAATAATAAATAAAATAAAAATCACGACGTTTCGGAGGCAACACAAGCTTCCGTCTTCAGGTGGAACCGTCACAGCACGCTTGTTGTATCAAGTAAGATGATTTTTTATTTTATTTTTATTTTATTTTACTTTTATTAATTTTAATTTTTTACCTACGTGACTTTACCGAAAAAACCCAAGAATAACAATGAATACAACAAAAAGCGCATATTCGGTATTCGCGTCATGATGATTATTGTACAGCTCAAGACCGTCACGCAGGAAGGCGCTGCTGTTTCACAGACAGAGCCTTGCGGTAGTGTCACCGCAGCGGCCGATGTTGCCACACGTGGACTCACAATTGAGTACATTCGCAAGGAAAGTTATTCACGTTTTGTTGTTGCAAATGTGGGCCGTGCCGCCGGGCACACAATGGCCCACTCTTGTCAAACGACGCCACGGTCTCTTTACCTATCGTCCACTGCGAAAGCGAACGGCGGGCAGCAGCAGCAGCAGCAGCAAATGTTACGATTAAAATACATCAGTGGTGTTACCCAGGGCGGACTGACGGAGTCGAACCGCGGAGCCCTCTCTGGCAAAACAAGCGGGCTACCCCTTGCCTCCTCCCCTGCCCACTCACCCACCCACCCACCCACTCACTCACCTCACCCACCACACCCACCCCACCTCACCACACCCACCCCACCTCACCCACCTCACCACACCCACCCCACCTCACCCACTCCACCTCACCACACCCACCTCACAATATACCTCACCCACCTCACCTCACCATACCCACCTCACCCCACTCACCCACCCACCTCACACCTCACCACACACCTCACCCACCTCACCCACCTCACCCCACTCACCCACCCACCTCATCTCACCCACCTCACCCACCTCACTCACCTCACCATACCCACCTCACCACACCTCACCCACCCCACTCACCCACCCACCCCCCCACCAGGGTGAGTGAGTGAGTGGGTTGCGTGAGTCCCGTGCCACCGACCCCAACCCTCGCGAATCGCACCTGGGGCAGAGCGAGCAGCGCGCTGAGGCTCCACGCGGCGCACAGCAGCGTCTTGTTCCGCCGCTTTGCGCGCGACACCCGCAGCGGGTCGGTGACGGCGGCGTGCCGGTCCAGGCTGATGACCACGGTGACGAATGCGCACGAGTACATGGCCACCAGCTTGAGGAACATGAGCAGGCGGCAGGCCGCGTCGCCTCCCCGCCAGCCCACCGTGATGTTCCACGCGGCGTCCAGGGGCATGACCACGCAGGCGGTGAGCAGGTCCGACAGGGCCAGGTTCACCAGCAGGATGCGCACGTGGGAACGCCGCGGGCGGCGATCCCTGGACGCGCTCCAGAGAACCGCGGCGTTGCAGCACAGCGAGAGGGCGCACAGGGAGAAGGTGACCGCCACGCGCACCTGTGACGCCGTCGTGAAGGAGGGGATGACGATGCCCTGGCTGGGAAGGCTCGCGGTCGGGGATTGGAGGCGAGGGATCGTCGTGGCGGGTGATGATGAGGGTGAGGAGGAGGAGGGTGATGGTGATGGTGACGAGGTGGTGGTGGTGAAACTGAGAGGAAGGCCGCTTGATGGTGAGATCTGCCAAGTGACGGTCCACGTGGGTGATGATGAATTCATGGTGATTTTTGCGAATCCAGCCAGGATCCTGCAAAATAGACGTCACCTTTAACAGCCTGTACTATTAGCATCATTATCGCCATCATTAACAATCCGGAAAATTAGAATCATCGCCATCATTAACAATCTGGAAAATTAGAATCATCGCCATCATTAACAATCTGGAAAATTAGAATAATTAACAATGTGCCATCATAATCATTATCGCCATTAACAATCTGTAAAGTTATCATTATCATTAACAATGTACCATAAGAATCATCATCGCCATCATTAACAATCTGTAAAATTATAATTATTAACAATGTACCATGAGAATCATCGCCATCATTAACAATCTGTAAAATTAGAATAATTAACAATGTACCATAAGAATCATCATCGCCATCATTAACAATCTGTAAAATTAGAATAATTAACAATGTACCATGAGAATCATCGCCATCATTAACAATCTGTAAAATTAGAATAATTAACAATGTACCATGAGAATCATCGCCATCATTAACAATCTGGAAAATTAAAATAATTAACAATGTACCATAAGAATCATCATCGCCATCATTAACAATCTGTAAAATTATAATTATTAACAATGTACCATGAGAATCATCGCCATCATTAACAATCTGGAAAATTAGAATAATTAACAATGTACTATGAGAATAATCGCCATCATTAGCAATCTGTAAAATGTTAATAATCTGCTCAAGGTGCCACGTTTCAAATTAAAGAGGTATTGCATTGTCGCGTTATAGGCGTGCGTGAGTTTAACTGCACGAGCATTTTGTAGCTGCGCCCGTTACAGAGACAGACCTCCTGGACACACTCGGGAACGAGCCGGTCCCCTCTCAAGGGGATGACTACACGCGCTATATTTTAACAAACTAAACACAAGAAATTAAACACTAGGTAAGCATCTCGTTGCAATGCCACTGCCATTAAAACAAGTGTCTGCCACGTGGTTATAGTAACGTACCTTATTTACGGTAAAGCTCTCTACAGCTTTTAAACATCACAGCCCAGGAAGTAGACGCGCGTTCCACTCTTGCATATAAAGATCCTCCGTATAGCATTAACATACTTTTGGTGCAAGTGCCGTTAGCGAGCACCTATTAAGGTAGACGTGACCACGCGCACACGTGTGCAGCGCACACTCACACACGTGTGCAGCACGCGCACGCTGTGTTTGATGGTGATGCTATATATAGGCGGGGCATGCCTCGTCCCATAGGCGGGATGCTGAGTTTAGACATCCGCAGAAGTTCCACGAGCACGGTCGTGACTCAGCATTGACATCATCGACGCTTGGAACGGTGGGAAGGCGTACGAGACTTCCGCGGATTTCTTCGCTTTTACCGCTGATCCCATTTAGCGGCGCTGCTAATGTGGTGCATATATCGAATGGTTTGTGTCTGTCTTGTCGAGGGGTTCGTGGTGGTGGTGGGGAGGGAGGGAGGAGGGTGGGATGAGTCAGCGATTATCGAGTAGTCATCATCATCACTCCTCCCTTCGCCCGCACCTTCAGTTTCATTTCAGTTTCATTGATTAGGTATAGCCCTGTGAGCCATTCGGCTCTTGAATCGGGTGCAACCGCAACAAACAAAAAACAAAAACATGAACAAGAAAACATCTTAAAGTGACTAAGTGCAAACAGAAAATGTGTGTGAGTGTGTGGGTGAGTGAGTGGGTGAGTGAGTGAGTGTGTTGGTGAGTGAGTGGGTGATTGGGTGAGTGGTTGGGGAGTGGGTGAGTGTGTTAGTGAGTGAGTGGGTGAGTGAGTGTGAGTGAGTGAGTTCAAGTTCATTGATTAGGTATAGCCCTGTGAGCCATTCGGCTCTTGAATCGGGTGCAAACACAACAAACAAAAAACATGAACAAGAAAACATCTTAAAGTGACTTTGCGCGAACAGAAAAATCCAGGAAAAAACTGCAAAGTCTTCCAGAAACAAAGCACCGTACACCAACGCTGTGTGCAAAAATCCCAGTGGGATGCAAGTCAAACAACAACAAAAACAACAACAAATTATATTCTTAGGTTTTTTCGGTAAAGTCACGTAGGTAAAAACATTAAAAAGTAAAATAAAATAAAAAAATCACGACGTTTTATTTTATTTTACTTTTTAATGTTTTTACCTACGTGCCTTTACCGAAAAAAACCTAAGAATATGAATCATTGCAGTCACGAAAACTTCAAATCTAGAAACAACAACAAATGATCACGGCTGGGTTACGTCCGGTGCGCGAAAGAAGTGAAACATTCATACAATCCAGCATTCAACCATCAGTCACCATTATCCAGAGGTGTGGACTCGAGTCATGTGACTTGGACTCGAGTCAGACTCGAGTCATGAATTTGATGACTTCAGACTCGACTTGGACTTGCATAACAATGACTTTGTCCCACCTCTGCCATTATCACAACTATCCATCATAACCAATGGTCATACCCGTCGTCATTAATGAAGCATCATCGCCGATGAAATCACCAATAAACCAATAATGACGTCATCATTATCAACCAAGCGAGCGTCACCAATGGGATGTCATTAATCAGCAATCAAAATCAAATCGAAGCATTCGGCGTCACCACGAATCAACTCAGAAACATTATACTAATCGAACATTCTAATCATCAACTCGGAAATCGCGGTGATCATCAATAATTCATTCAGAATCGAGACTTGTAACTAACTTAGCATCAACGGGCATAAGGGGCCGTCCATAAATGACGTCACGTACCTAGGGGAGGGGGGGGGTCAGACATTTGTGACGATGTGTGACGAGGAGGGGGGGGGGTGAGAAATGTGACGTCACATCAAAATGCGCAACTTTAGATAAATATAGACAACACGTTCTACTTTATTAAATAGAATTGTTATAACACTAATTTTGATACATTTTCATTATTAACCATTTGATTAATTACATTTACTAAGATCACCTTTTATTTATTCAATGAAGAAATATTTGCTTCTCCATGGGAGAATGGAGAAGCATACATTTTGTAAAATGTTTAATGATTGCTATTAAACATTTATGTTTTAATGATTCTACCAGGGATTTTTATTCTGTGGAATGAATATGTGATTGTTGTAATTGTACTCTCCATTTTGCTTCGTTCTACTACAAAGTTTCAAGTATTTTTTAATAGTTATAATTACTTTAAATATTTTATAATTATAAGATAATTTTATTATCATATTTTGAACATCTGCAGTTTTAGTTAGACGTTGAATATTTCAAGTTAATTTTATGCCAAATTTCAGCTTTCCAACGCCTCCTTTTTAATAAATGTTTTCTCCTACAACATCAGAGTACAGCGCCATATTAAATACGCACTACAATGACAATAGTTTAAATCGATTTGAAGCATGTTTTATTTGGGGGAGGGGGCAGAGCTTTGTGACGTCATATTTGAGGGGGGGGTCTGACTTTTTGTGACGCCGTGTGACGAGGGGGGGGAGGGAGGGTCAAAAATCGGCCAAAATCACGTGACGTCATTTATGGACGGCCCCTAACTCATTCCGAGGCATTCGGGGACGAAAACGTTGAGCACCACTTGCTGCAGTAGTAATCTTCTTTTGCGACTGGTGGAATTTCAAATAGTGGCAGAGCACAGCCAAATCAAAACCATCACTGACAAAGCACGTGGCTGGGTGAAGAGGGGCGGACCTGGATTTTTCTGTTTGCGCATAGTCACTTTAAGATGTTTCTTGTTCACGTTTTTGTTTGTTGCGGTTGCACCCAATTCAAGAGCCGAATGGCTCACAGGGCTCCACCTAATACATGAAACTGAACTGAAGACAGAGATGGCCGCCGTGTCTGGCTGGGCCACGTGGGGCAACCGAGCCGTGTGGTAGGGCGGAGAGCGCTCCCCTCTGGTCTGCTCGTCGACCTTCAGGGCACGCAGAGAGACGGTCACAGAGAGAATGAGAAGGGAAGACAATTTCGATTTAAAGCTTCCGTGACTGCAGGGATTCATCTTCTTGGTTATTTCGGTAAAGTCACGTAGAAGGGAAATGATAAAATAGTAAAAATAAAACATAATAAAATAATTCTCACGACGTTTCGGCCACAACGCAAGCAGCCGTCCTCAGGTGAATGACGGCTGCTTGCGTTGTGGCCGAAACGTCGTGAGAATTATTTTATTATGTTTTATTTTTATTATTTCCCTTCTACGTGACTTTACCGAAAGAACCAAGAAAAGGAAGGACAAATTGGCTTTTACCCTTTCTGGTGTTAGGATGTTCAAATTCCAGATATATGCCGAGTGCATTGACTTTGTCCTGTTCGCCTTTTGGCGTTCTCTCGCTTGCGTGCATGTTTTGCCACAAGTAGGTGTGGTGAATAGACTCGACGCATTTAAATATGAATCTATTTTAGTGGTTGAACACTTAACACATCCTGTTTTATTTCCAGAAAGGGTAAGGCCTATTCTTATATTTTAATCATTTTTTTAATTGGCAAAAAGGTTCCATTAATAAGAGTTGGAGACTACACTCGACACTATGGGGCCTGAGAAATATTTTTTTAAATGGCGTAAGAATAGTTACCTCAAAAGTCGTTATTGTGACAAACACTTCAATAGTCTTTGCAGAAACATGTTACCTCCCTTGCCTGGTCTGCAGGAGATCTTGGGTTCGATCCCCCGCCTGTATATTTGGAGTCTTGGGGGGGGGGCAGAGCTTTGTGACGTCATATTTGAGGGGGGGGGGTCTGACTTTTTATGACGCCGTGTGACGAAAGGGGGGGGTCAAAAATCGTCCAAAATTGCGTGACGTCATTTATGGACGGCCCCTTTGTCTCTCGTCAGTGACGGAGGTGTTGGTGCGAGAGGCGTTCCTCTCGAGGAAGGGACAAAAGGCGCCGAGGCATCCCGCACGAGCCCGCCAGGGATGCAATAAACGAGCGTGGCACAAAGGGATGTCCACGGGAAACGGAACGGACAAACCCAACAACCGGCTCGGAAACTAAAAGAAAACAAACCTCGTTGGACTCGGTGAGAGCAGAGGGCAGCAAGCCCTG